AAAACCAGGAAAGGCCCCGTCGAACTCGGAAAAAATTCAATTTCCTGATGGGATGTATCTACTCGGATTCCTCCTTTAATTAGTAGGCAGATTTTCCAAAATTCTCATGTTCCCGTTTCCATGCAGAAGATGACGAGAACCCTTTCCGTTGTTCACTGAGTCGACGGAAGTCCTTTCGGTCAGTTTTAAGACGGTCTTCGACGACCCCGATCGAGGCAACTTCGAGATGACGATGGGAGAAATTGTCCTCGATTGCGAGACCAGTCGGGTGAATCCGAAGGGCTGGAATTTCGCAACGATGCGAAACGACGCACTCGAGGCGGATCGGCTTCCGACGGTAAAGGTCGTCGAGACTCGGGAGAAGCCGAGTTGCAAAAACGGGGATGAAACGGCAGAGACGATCGGACACGGGAATGAGTCGGTATGAATCGGCGGGAAGGGAAAATAAATGAGAATGACCATGGAGGAAGTCATTGGATTCACCTTGGGTCCTCCTCGCCGTCTCTCTCTCTTTCTTTATCCATTCCATCGACGTCGAGACTCTTCATTCTCGTTTCTTCATCCGGAGTCGAACCGTGTGTGTACCGTGCTACGTACTCTCTCGCAGCGAATGCCATGATTTGCAGACAGGTGAGCGATACGATGCACGGTCGAGATAAATTTAGGACTCGGGTCCGTCGGAAAAATGAACGAGCGAGTCGGTTGAGGATTTTGCCGCGATCGTGATTTTTCCACGTCGACGTTTGAAACTCGCTTAGAATGCGTCGGATGACCGCGATCATCGCGGGCACCGACACGAAATCTTACAAAACCGTTTAAGCCTGCGTTGTCGAACTTTGGAAAGCCTTTTCCAAGGATAGAAAGCATGGTACATCGGAATTGAACTTTTAGATTTCCGCTACGACACCGAAGTTCACACTTCCTGCAATTTCAGAACGAAGGAGTCACATTCCCAGTCTCTAAATACGGTAAATGGCAGTCGTTGAAGGCATGCACTTTTCGGGCTGGGAATCCAAGTCCTTTCAGTCCTTTTAATCCTTTCAGTCCTTTCTGTCCTTCCAGTCCTTCTCAGGCCTCATCAGCCCATGGCAATGGATAATAAGCCAGAAACACGGTCGTTTAACTAATAGAGGTTTTCTTCTGGGAGGATTTTCCCTCATAATTCAACTTGACGGTCTCATTTAGATCCGAGAGTGAATTCCTCTCCCTTCCCTCCATCTTAATATGTTCTTTTGTCTTTTACCTCTCCGTTCTTTTTAGATGTAGCGATTTGCCATAAAATTCTTACAATTAATTCAATGAAGCATGTAGTGTAGAGAAAAGCACTGATTTGATATAACGGGGAAAATGGATTCCTGCCGCATACAGTGTAAAACGTGTCCACGAGCCGATTCCACTTCTGTCAAAACAAGAAAGATGGCAATCACTTTTATTCAGGGCGTCTGCAGTGCTCATTTTTTCAGCCCTTACCATGCATATTTATTGGGACTTTTTTGAAGAGCCTCGTCGATCGTAAGAAACTCGTAGAAACCAGAAAATATTCGCCGCGATGTAGCAGCCGTCGTGTAGATCACTCTTTATATATAGACGATTCCGGATATATCCCGAAATTCAAAATGGACGGATAGAGAATTGCATGCGATGCGAATTTACTTTCATCGATCCTCAATCAAGTGGCAACTTTTTCCCTGCAAATTTCATGCTGCATTTCATTAATTGCCATTATTTTTTCGAGGAATGGCTTTGGGCAACCTGTTCACTCCCATGTGGTGAAAAATACCTTATAATTAGTTGAGAATCACCCCGTGCCCTGTGGCTAAGATGGTTCCACTCCCTTCATTTCAATTGTCATTGAGGTACCTTATGAATTTTATCTTTAAACTTGTTTAGAGAACTTTACAATGCCTTCACTATTGGCATGAGACACGAACAAATGAAAAACTCACACTTTCGAGAAGCCGTTAGTACTTATGCATCTAAGATTCATATTCACACTTGAAATTTTTATTTTTGATTGATTCTGCACACTCTGCGACCCAGTATTTTGTTAAGAAAATGTGATTTTTGCACCGAATGCAAAAGTTCTACCCTCATAGAATAATCAGCGAATATTAAGGAATATTACGGGTCGTGGATCTCGCGTGATCGGAACCATACGGGGGAGGAAAGATGGCACATCAGCATCGCGTAGAAAGGACATTTTCATCGGTTCTAAGTTTACTCCTGCGATCGCATTTGCACGGATTCCTGCGCGAAGCACTTTCGCGACCCCGGGAGGACTTCCACGGATTCCTCGCCGTTTTCGGTTTGTGTTCGAGGAAGGCGAGAGGCCTTAGTAAACGCTTGCTTCAGTACCTACTAATAATAATAATAAATAGTCCTGGGTCGTTCCATGTCAGATGAACACTTCAACAGACCATAACTTCTTCTGATCTACAAGGCTGTCGAAAATGAATTGCCACATTCACTCCACAGCAGCCCGAACGGTGACAGCCGGCAACTTCCACGGAAAAAGGTGGAAATTAAAGGTGAGGCTATACCAAGTCACTGGAATCTCCTTCCTCTTCCTCTCCTCAGCCGTAGATTCATGGGGAAATTTGGAGACGGGAGTTAGGCTCGTCATCCTAGCTCTACCCGGTAACGACCTCGAGTCCTTAAGAGAAACTTTCTCGGCGCTCGGTTACTCTCTTTCGAGAACCCTTCTCACCGCTCGGTCCGTAATAAATGGCGCAACATTTGTTGCAGTCGTCGAGGCAGAAGTATGCCTCGTCCAGTGTCGCGACGAATTTCCATCCGTCACCCGTGAGGTAACGCTCATGAAGCTTTCTGGAGTCGGTCATCCTCTCCTGAACGCGTGCGAAGAGAACTTCGTGAACTCTTGACTCGTGTTGCACCTCTAAATAAATATCCCTATTGATGATGTTTCACACAGATATCTGGGACACTCCAACGGCTTTTGCGACAGATCTCTGTGTTCTCTTGTTTCCTCCAGCTACGGACTGTGCTGACACACTTCTGGAGCACGGCTTGATGGGCGGAGGTCTCCAGCCGTGGGTTCAGCCCTTCCTTGTCCGATCCCATTTAAGGCCTTACGGATTCCATTCTTCGACACTGAAGCCCCTGAATCGACAAGCCTTTATGATCTCCGAACACGAGTAATTGGTGTCGGAAAAGCCCTGTCAAAAATCAGCTGGGTATCGTCCCCTCCGACCGAGTAGCCGCTTACTAACCCAACCGGCTCTGAGTGAGCACGACATCAACGCGGTAGGTAGCAGGGAAGTGTCCCGCCGTGCACCGTCGTCACCGAATACGCGAGCTAATGTGATCGAGAAGATTCCATAAACCTGCGTGAGATGGAGCCTAAATGTTCGTAGTAGCGAGTCAGTTCTCTAATTCTACCGAAATGAGTCCTCTGAACCTTTGACACAGTTCCCAACGGTTTCCCACATTGATGACTCTCCTTCTGTTACCTTAAGGAGCTGTATAAAGAGACTTCTACATTGTATCAGGCTCCTATATAGCTCTTTAAGGCCAGGCCTCCAACCACCGTCCTACCAAGATGATAGCTGAACTGCGGGACAGTTTTCCCTTGTTATGGTCCACAGTATCCTCTTTCTAACGGGAAGCAACATAATGTGCAAGCCGAATCTGACTTCTTATGGGAAGGCAGATTCCCTTATATCTGTATTAGGCACACGGTATGGATACTCTTCAATCCGTGCCTTGGAGCTCAAGTATGCCCTATCCCTTCTTTCAAACGATTTTTGCCAGGCGAGGAAGGAGGTTGCGTCTTGAATGAGTTGAATTCGTACTTCTATCCAGCCCAGGTGAAGCAGAAAAGCACAAGGGATGATTTTGCCAGGAGATGCATAATTATCAATATCTCTCGAAGGTTGATAATAGAGCCAGTTTATGGGTTTTTCCTCAATTTTTTAAATCTCTTCGTGGAAGGTTAGGTTAGGCTTATTAGTGAAGCATGTGCGAATTTCCAACAGGGAACCACAGTTGGTCCGATGATGGATCAGCAGGACATGCCCGACCATAAGCCGACTTCATTCAACCATCCGCCAGCGATGGCCCAACTAAAGTTTATCTACGCATCGACGAAAAGCCATCGATGGCCCGATTAAATTTTTTTTACTGCAATGTATTCTTCCTAGCATTTTTTTAACGGTGTCAAAGCTCGCAGCCAACTCTTCATGGTCCACGTATTGCCACAACGTTAATTGGGGACCCAAACCTTCCGCACATCATGGGCTGAGATCTCCATACCGATCCAAACAAGTGTGCAATTCATCACCATGTACTGTATTCAACCTCCGTAGGCAGGGTTAGAGAAATCCTTTGAAACTAATAAAATTACGAGTGAGAAGGACGGCAACGGACTTCCTCTATGGCTGGTTACGATATCAGTGAATTAGTGGCGTAGTGTGCAAACAAACTCCTCGCATCATCTTTACGCGTGGAATCTTTATGGAAAAAATCACTGAAGGCGTTCGCGTGGCACTCATATTTCTCAACGTCCCATGTCATCGAAAGCAATTCTTAATTCTCAAAGTCTTTCGATGCTTTTGCGAACGCCATCCCACGTGATTCTCGAGCACTATTTTTCGCAGATGGATTTTGGACTGTAGACAAGATCTTTTTTTTTTCCGGAAACATGGGCCAGTTGCACTGCCTGCACTTCAATGTCTGACTTCTCAAAAAGCCTGACTTGGGAAAGTCTGGCTTGAGCCTCTCTATCCTATCCTATCCAGAAAGTTGAACTTAATGCATTGTAAATCTGACTTTTCCAGTGCATAAGAAGGTTTTGTAAGTTTTCGGTTGCGCGACCGTAACTCTCAGAGCTGTTACTCGTCACTGAAAGCACTCGAAGACGGGAAATATCTATTTTTGGTAGATTCGACATGTCCCAAAGCAAAAAAGGACAAAGTTTCACATGTCTTGGCTGAGGATATAAAGCTGGCTTTATCCTCTCAGATCGGTCAGTCATGTGCTTAATGAAGTAATTTAGAACATGTACATTGTTGTGGTTGCCTCATGAAAATAAAATAGTGATGATTTAACGTTTGGACCTCACGAAACCAAGTTTTATTTCCCTTTGAAGGAAAATAAATGTAGTGACCATAATTTCAAGAAATAACTTTGATAGCCGAAAGAACTGCGCTTGAAGCAGTTGATTTGTGCATTCACGCGTCATCTCCAGGTCTCATCGGTTCTCATTCATTTCTGTATGATGTTGGGCCTATGAGATGGGTAAGTTTCATTCGTCGTATCCTCTTTTGTTTAATCGAAATCGAACGTGGTCATTTATTCCTTCATACAGAAGTTATAATTTGAAGTTGCAGAAGGTAGGTGGGGGCAGGGGAATTTCTTCCCGCGAAAAACCCGCAGCAGATGCTTCCTAGAATGACTTCTCACATGCCCTGTGACACTCCGATCCGCAGATTTGGAGGAAGGCGTTTTGGTTTCTGCTATGGAGCCTGACCGCGACGCTGGGATCGGGTGCGAACGTTTTCGGGATCGACCTTCCCAACGTGGAAATCCCTGCTGCCGTCACGGATAACATCGGGAACCACGATCGTTGGAAGGACTTCGGCCAGGAGATCGGGAAAGCCGTCCGACGGGGATCGGAAATCGTTCACAGCGGACAAGTGGGGGAAGTGTCTCAGAAGGTCATCGCGGACCTGGTCAACGAGGGGAAGAAGGTAGTGGACGTGGTGAAAGAGAAAGCCTCTGACATGATCAACGAGGCTCTTTCCATTCGCACCACTACCGTCCCCCCCCTCGAGGCACCTCTTGTTGAGGATACCCCAGACTTGGAGGACGGAGAGCAGATGGAGACCTTCGAGTCTAGCACAGAATCCGGAGAAGCAGAGCAGACGACACCCTCATCATCGACCTCTGAAGCTGACATACCGCAAACGACGACGTTGAAGTCGACCGCAGAAGTCGACAGGCAGCAGACGACGACGGTGTCGCCGAATGCGGAATCCGAGATTGCTGAGCAAACAACGATAGTATCCTCGAACACAGAAGCCGAAATTGCTGAGCAAACAATGCCGTCGACGTCAATGACGGAAAAGGAAAATGAGGAGGCAATAGGAGAGTACCAAGAGTTGGGAGGAGAGGAAATGGGAGAAGAAATGGAAGGAGAGGAGATGGGAGACGAAATGGAAGGAGAGGAGATGGGAGACGTGGAAGTTCCGACGACGGAAGCCACCACTGCAATGTCTGAAGGAATCCCTGAATCCAGTTCACCCGAGGCCATCAATGCATCCGTCGAAGATATCAAGGAAAATTATGAAACCCCAGAACAAGAGGAAGTGGTAGAAGGGTTCGATACCGATCTTCCAGCAGATTCACCTCAGACCGAAGAAAACCCAAGAGATAACAAGATTCCAACATTCAATGTTAACCTGAACAACATCCTCCGCCGTAATAGTAGGGTCGGCCCCATCTTGAGTGCTCTAGAGAGCGCGATTCAGCGTCCTGGGATTCTCGAACGTCCTCAGTCCTCCGGTAACTTGGTGGGTATCGCGCAATTCTTGGGAGAGAAGATCGGGGATGTGGTGAAAACGAACGTCGCCCAAGTCCTGCCTTCCATAGTGCAGGGAGAGGATCAGGAGGGAAATCTCGGCAGGGATTTCCTCGTCTCGATCTTACGAGAAGGAATGACGAACGCGCTGGAAAGAACCATGGATCGATTCCTCCGGAGTCCCTTCCTGGACGAGGTCGAGATAGCGGTTCGAGACGGAACGAGAGCGATCGAAGCCAGTCTGCAGTCGCTTTCGCGCATCGCCTTTGGACTTCAGGGTTTCCAGCCTCGTCCGGATCAAGCGCCCGAAGTCGACAATAGAATAGAGAGAATGATTCAGACGGGGGTGGGGATGGTCGACGAAGGGAGGGATATGATTCGACGGGCTCTCTGGCAACTCCGAGGAAACAGGGACTCGAGAAACGACGACGTGGAAAACGACGATGACGACGATGACGACGACGACGACGACGACGACAAAGAGACGCCGACGGTCCCATACGAACCGTTGGAACCGTCAGAGGAGAATTTCATAGTTGATTACCCTCCCCCGCTCCAGTCGTTGTTCAGGAACGCGCCTCCCAAGAGGCCGAACCCGGAAGAGGGTCGGGCTCTCCATCGGTTGGCCGTGAGCATCGCCAAGAAGGCCATCGAATCCTCGAAAAAGCCAAACGAAAGGGTTCGACGCCAGGCCGAGGACAGGCAGGACTTCGACCTTCCGTCTATCCTTGCTCTTCAGGTTTGATCATTTTCTCGTGTCTGAGCTTTTCCCCTTCCTTTCTAGGCGAGTCGTGCACCTTTTGCATCTGGATGAATTCAACACCCGTTCCAAATTGAATTCCCCTTGAACTTTTCGATAAACCTATAATAAATAGGGTGATACTCATGCTAATAAGAATTGATTGCCAGGATTTGATGGAATTCAACGGGAAAGCGTCCAACGCAGGATGGTCATCGCTCATCTGATCCTTGCATTCCGGCAGAGCGTTCACATCTCACGATCGTGGATGGCTTCAATGCTACCAAAATACGACATTAATTGGTCATTTTGAGATGCGTTGAAAGATCCGTTTCATACGGAGAGACAATAACCTAGCCAAAGAGAATTTAAAATTTTCCTTTCGTGCGATAGATAGACCGGATAGATAAGGAACTTGCCGAGAACTCCCATTGGGCAATGAACCCATGACGAAGCACCTGATGTGGGGGATCCGAGCGGATTGGAATTTTTTTACATCCATTGGGAAAAAAACCACGGGTTTATCGTTTCAGGACTAAATACGTTGTGACATGCCAACAATGCATGAGAAAGAATTCAAGATTTCTCTTACGCAAATACCAACACGATCCGATGCGCATTCTCCTAGATGATTGCTAAAGAAAAGATCGGAATTGCTGATAGTTGGGAGCAGCGGCAGCTCAGGGGCCTCCACTGGTTAAGAGTCCTACTGGAGAGAAAGGAAGGACTCGTGGGTCCACGGAGCAAGGCAGAGAGAGGCAAGAGAGTCTCTCGAGGTCTCTCGGTCCTTCGCTTCCTCGCCCCCCTCCTCGGGATCCAGCTGTCATGAAAAAGAAGTTTATTCTGCAGATAATGCGAAAAGAGATGCAGAGGGGACGAATTCAAGAATTCATTCCACTTTCACCTGGTGTCTACGCTGCAACTGGACGATTCGCATATTCCAAGAATAAGAATCGGTAAAAAAAAAAAAAAGATTTCTTACATAAAAGGACGCACGCGACGATACGAGCATTGCATGGACAAACCATTTCATCATGTTACGGTTTCTTTCAACACGTCACGTTTCTTCAATTAAAGTTGATGATGTCTCGAAGGCATAGATAATGGCGACATGAGGGAAAGTTATTATTTTTTATTAAAAAAAATTTTTTTTTACGATTTAAAGCGGAATGATATTTAGGCCGAGATCCCCTTGGAAGTTTCTTGTTCATGAAATTCCCTCTCCGGCAATTGTTGATCCAGAGAGCGCAAAACTTCGGGTGTGTCATGGGGCAAGGCGCAAGGCGCGTCGCAGCACAAAATATTCCCAGAAGCTCGATCATCTATTGCGCAGTACATCCCTTCCGATCGATGATTTTGCACGAAACGGCATAATTGACTCGGATTGGAAGCTGCCATGATTGTCAAATCGCCCAGGGAATGCATTATTCTTATCGCGTCGTCTCTTCCTTATGGCAACGCCATCATCCTCGATGCAGCGAGAACTTTTCGACGAGTAAATATAACATCCCCATCTCCCTCAAAGTTTCTAGATTTAAATTTGAGAAAGTGAAAGAAAGTCTGACCCATACGGAGTCCTTTCGCTCTCGGGCGACGTTGCTGCAATGTCTCGGTCGATGAGAAAGTCTCCGATTCTTGTGAGAGGTGGAGGTTTCCCGTCTGGAACGAAGCCGAGAGAGAGGAACGCTCACGATTATGCATTCGATGTGACGCAAGGAGTTTCTACCCTCGTACCAGGGTTAATAGAAAATATATGATCTGGGAAATCTGCAGTCACGCAAATGAGGGAAAGCGGCTGAGGACAATCCTCCACAACAGACGTCATCGTCATGGCTAGTTACGGTACGACCCTGCACGGGTAAGTTTTGACGAACTCGGCCCGATCGGCTCTTACCCGATTGGAAAACCTGTTGCCAACTGAGAATCATCCGCCTCGTCGAGGGATCTTCCAAGTTTTCACCCAGCATGGCTCGCAGGATGGATCGAGTTAGACTCAATCGGGCCAGCCCGCAGATTGTGTACGACTCCAAAACACAGCGAACGCAGCAAGTGCATGCATCTGGGGACGCGAAAGTCCTGCTTCTCTTCTGCGCTGCTTCGAGTCAAATTCTTTTTCATGCAAATTTAAATTTAATTTATCCCCTACGCTTAGACGGGGATGGTCTAAAGTAAGACGGTTTGAAAAGGGGACTACTAGTATGAACGAGCTTCTCAATGTTTGACTTCAAAATTAATTGTAAATCATCTGTAATTTCTATGTTCAAATGGGAACATTCTTGATCACAAGAGATAAATCAGGGCAGGAGGAAATCATGACTAAAACTATGTGGAAAAAATTGCGTTTATATCGAAATGAGATATTTGCTTACCTTCTGAAATTTTCGCGTGTTTTCTACTCCACTGCTCTTCTGTTGAATCTTTCATGCTAGACTTAGAGGATGAAAAGGAAAAAAAATTGATGACCAAGAGAGCTGCTGTGTAGGTAGATCTAGGAGAGACTGAGCACGTAGCGAAAGTAAAGCAATATCAAGAGGCCTTTGACAGTCGTTGAATATTTCAAGCGTCATTTCGAACAGTTAAGCCCATGGAAGGGGCGATTCAATAAAACTACTGTCTGCTGCACCATCTTGTGGCAGGAGCTGTCTCTAGCCAATCTTTCAGGTCCTCAAACCATATATATTCTATTAACCCTGCTTGCACCAATATGGCGATTGCTTATTCAACAATTCGACGAAGTCTTCTTAGATTGTATCCTTCCTACGTGCTCATTTGCTTAGCTCCTTTTACATTCATTTCCTTCATTTTCGTAACGTAACTGACAAGAGCATTTAGACTTCGAGCCGATTCTAACGGCGAAGGAATTACGGCAATAGACCTTAAAGAGCGATTCTCATACCGAAAGGGTGAAGATTGAGATTGAAAAGATGAGGCTCTCGATGCATAGGCACAAGAGCAAGCGGAAATGCTGATATTGGAGTTCTTCCTACGGAGCCTGACCCAGACGCCGTTTTGGAAGAGCCTGACGACTCCGCCGGCCCCTCTGCCCGTCCCCGTCGTCCCCAAATACGATTCCAAGGAGTCAGAGCTGCGTTTCAAGGTCTTCCCGGCCCCTATCTTCAAGACGATCGCATCTGGGTTGTTCGGCGATCAACAGTCTACCCTTGCCTTACCCTTGTTAAATATCTTCGGTGGCAACCGAAAATAATAAACCGTCCGATTCTCGTACGAACGTCTTTTATTGTGAATTCTACCGATTCCGGCGACAGCATGCCTGTACGGTGCAAACTTGCTCCATCGTCCCGGTGCTTGCACGTCGACATCGCGATTTCACATGGAAACAAGATAGAAAAGTGACGTTTTATGCAGCTTACACGAAACAGACGAAGCTACAATAGTTTCTTTTTAGCCCTAGTAAGGCGATAAACACAAAGGTATTAAGCATGGAGACGGCGGGAAAAAAGTTTCAAACAAGTATACAAAAAAAAATAAAGTATAAAAAATTTCATGTCTAAGAGTTCCAGAAACACGAGTTGCCTAAGGAGATCCATGAAGAGCAATTATAAGCTCGTGTAGGAATAGCATTTCCGGAATGGTCGGCCAAATCAGTGAGTCTCAATTGCTTCATTTTCACCCAATGAAGCTGAGGTATCTCCGTACAAATCATTTGACGATCGCCTTTCCTTTCTCTTGGCATTCATGCCATTCGTCACATTTTTAGTATTCAAAACATAGAGTGTTCAAAAAGTCTTTCAACTAACGTAAAATAAGTTAAGAGAAACTCTCAACAGCTCCTAAAACATCAAAACATTTTTTAAGCACAACGATCCACGGGACATGGTATCAGTCGAGATGAGCAAGTAGTTTCACCTCTCGTGTTAGAGGACTAGACGAACCTTGAATTACATCTCTTTAGAGCAGTGGCGTATTTGATGGGACGCAGCCCTTGAAAGTGTCTCGCTTTGGGAAATTTGTACGAGGGAATTTCCTTTCGCCCCTGAAAACCTTCTCTCACAACTTCCCCCCACCCCTTGACTGTCCTTGTCAGCCCTTGACTCGAGCAAAATATACCACTGCTTTAGAATAGTGCTCAATTGAACTACTCCTTACATATTTGAGTGTAAGTTTAAATTGAATTTAGAATAAGCGGATTTTATGAAAGAAAAACAATAACCAACGGAGAAGGACTTCCACACGGCTGATATCGGATCGTGTACGTCACGCTGCGCAGGACCTTTAATCGATTATCTGATAGAACCCTCAGCTCGTTTCCATCGCAGTATTTTCTCCAGGGTCTTGGGAAAAATAAATTCGAGGAAAAAGGCTAGAATGGCCAGGGAATCTCCGATGAGGAGGAGGAGAAAGGCAGAAGAAAGGTGAATGAGCTTCAACGTCCTCGGGTCTTTGGCCTGGGATGCAAAGTCTTCGAGCACTCGATTCTTCTCCCTCTTGTCATTTTCCAGCATCTCGTTCCACCAGCGATTGATGAGGTTCCCTCTTTGGAGGTACTCCACGGTCTTCACGAGGGGCTCGTAGAAGTAGGCGTGCTTCGGGGCCATGATCCCAACGTAGAATCCCATCAGACATTCTGGTGTCACATATACCTTCGAAATCCCATTCTCGTCCGTGTAGTACAGGAACTGGTAATATCTATTTTAAAAATATTTAAATATTGCATGATAAATGTTTTATTATCATTCAGACTATCACTGAGAAGACCGAGAAGAGAAATTCACAAGAATCTTTTAATTTTAGCAAAATTAATGATGAATTTGATGCATATGTGTAGTCTCGAGAATGAGGGGACTATGAACGGATGGAGACGTTGAGTGCTTGCAATAATCAGAATCGACGTTCGATATAACGAACGAATATAAGTTCTTATAATGAATTTTCTTAACTACGATTTTTTTTCCAGTTCCCGGCCGTTCGCCCATTAACATGTATGTTTCTCTATAACCAAGTTCTGTACTCGTGTAACGAATTGTTCGGTTTCACGAAATCATTTT